CAGCTGCAGCTTTTGAACAGTCTTCAAGTGTAGTCCCAGGTAGAGTGCATTGCAGTAGTCCAGTATAGATGTAACTAAGGCATGGATCACTGTGGCGAGATCTGACTGATCCAGAAAGGTACACAGTTGACACACCAGGTGAAACTGGGCAGAAACACTGAACCATTACAGCCACCTGGTTGTCTTAAGGTGACTGCTGTGTTAGGTAGCACTCCCAAGTTGCAAATCTAGTTTTTCCAAGGAGAGTATAACCCCATCCAAGACAGGAGAGAACTGAAATCCCTGATCTGCCTTATGTTAATCCAGAGCACCTGTGTCTTTTCAGGATTAAGTTTCAGCTTGTTCACCCTTATCCAGCCCATTACTGACTCCAAGCACTAGTACAGAACATCAACAGCATATTTGGAATTAGGTGGGAAAGAAGGGTAGAGATGGGTATCATTTGCATATTGGTAACACCAAATCATTTGATGCTCAGTATAATGTTAATATTTTGAGTTATGTAATACTGCGTCTTGCTACATCCAGAAAAATTATCTTTGTACCCTGACATTTCTCCATTGTAACACAAAGAAAGGTAAAACCTCTGCTTTTTAAAAATGTTTTGTGCTTGCTATTTGTATATATTATTTCTAGAGTGATCTTATTCTGCTTGTAACGCTAGCAGCAACTTGGTAGAGTTAGTTGATTCTAATATGCAAACAGAGAGCTGCAACTGGTAGATCAGTTTGCTGTTTTAGAGATCTGATAGGCCACTGATTCTTGGATATATGAAGTATCTTTTGCCTGCTTGTTAAACAGAGGGTTAGTGTTCATTATTTTTCAGGAGCATAGTGGTATATGATTTCTGATGAGGACAAAATTACATTGTGTGTAATTGTTTGGCATATAATAGGTTGGATGAAGGTTTCTGTCAGAGCAGGAGGAGCCAGCAAATGCAGTTCCTTGGTTTCTTTCCTCCTGGAAGCTCCTTCCAGCCTTGGGAAAGTTTATTCCTAATATTGTGGGATTCCACATACACTAACAGTCACAGAGGTTGGGCGGGGCTACAGGGTGGTGAAGGAAGCAGGGGAAATCGCAAGGGAAAGATTTACTTTCCTTGAGTGAATGGATTGCTGGGGTTTACTGTTTGTTACAAAAATTGTATGAGTGTAGATAAACAGTTTGCATTAGAGGAAATGTGTTGACATTTACTTGCCTCTTAAATGGGAGCTGAAGTTCTGCAGTAGAGACATCACCTTTACGTTCTGGATTAGATCCTAAGACTCACCAACTCATTCTGTTGCTGTTTTCTTCTGTGTGCTGCTTCAGTGTTTTGTCAGTATTTCCTGGTTCTTTATCTATCTAGAATAGTTGGAAGGGAATTTAAAAATGTCCCAGTATCTACTTATTTGAATGCATGCTTTGAAGGTAGAATTCTCTTCTTTCTAGTACCTCTGTTATGTGCACATGTACATATCTCAGTTAAATAAAACCTATCTAGAAAATATATAATGAACACTTCAGGTATTTAAATCTTTCAAAGTACATGAACACAAATGTTCCTTTAAAAGAAGACTCTAGCCATGAAAATCAATGGCTCCATGAAATAATGTCACCAGCCATAACATGAATATAGCCGGAGGGGGGGGGGTGTTGCAGAACAAATGATGGCTTGTATTCCTCAGGAGGCTTACATAGACAGAACAGATTTCTTCTGGTGGAGCATGACTTTTTTGCTTCCCCCTTCCTGCTACAGCCCAAAATGCTGCTTTCGGGGGACAGGGAGCCCCTAGATATGGTAATGGGGGGAGGGGCGTTTGGATTCCCTTCCCTACAGCACTAACCTTTCACATACGTAAGAGAGTAACAAAAAAAACATGTCTTCAGTACATGCAAAGAAACCACCAGTCCATCTGTGTTGGTTTTGTGTGTTCTACAAATGTTGGGCACAGAGCAAGCAAAGTTTTGTACTTTTTTTCTTTTATTCCATGTCTTCACTATTAACAAAGACCTCTATGCTAGTCCACCTTTTTTTACATAATGGTTGAGAAGCTTGGTGCAGTGCAGCCATCTTGGTGGCCCTTGTGAGGGCAGAAAGGCAGGGTATACATTTTGTAAATGTCTTTAATTTTTCCTCTGTTGCTACTATTCCTGCCAGAATCGTGTCAGCTTTGAAATTATAAGAATGAGATTGTGCAATGAGAAACTTCTCACACAATACACGTGGATTTGACTCATACATTTCACCAATGGACTATTCCTTATTACTCTAGTGATATAAGTTTTGTTTCCTTGTAGCAAAATGCAGGAAAGCACAGTTCTTTCAGAAGCAATAAAGGCTCAGAATTGTGCATTTTAGACACAAATTGGCTTCTGAAAACTCATTCATATGACCAAGCTGCCTTCAAAATGCACTACTTTATTTTTTGGAGTGTTTTTTTTTTTTTTTTTTTTTTTTTTGCATTTCTCATATATGTGTATGTGAGTTTGTGTGTGCACCTAGTAGTCATGGCAACCTCTGGTCACTGACCCCTACTGGGGGCCTGGATGATATTTAGAGAGGTGGCTGCCTTGCCCCTACCTCCCACTTCCCACCTCTGGTATTTCAAGAAGGTCTCCCATCCAAGTACTTGCTTGTCGACCCTGCTGAAGTTCCGAGATCTGATGAGTTCAGGCTTGCCTGGGCTATCCAGGTCAGGGCAAAATGTACTACTTTTGAGCTGAATCTGAACACATTCTCACTCACTGATTTAAAGTCTGGTAATAGTGTATGTGTTGTAGTGTGTAGGTGCTGTGTTAAAATGTTTAATTTTGACACATACATTGGGAAATGAAAGTAACTGGGAGGGTACAGATATGTTCCAATACAAAAAATGTAGATTTGTGTATACAAAAATGATACTTTGGATTCGATGGGTTGGGGCTATTGGAGGTAAGCCTATGTTACCAAATTCCTCTCAAGCGCGAGGTTTTTGGGGTGGGAGGGGTGCAATTTATGTCCCTTGCTCTCTGACTCCAGGATTCAAATATATTTGAAGTCCCTTTTTTAAATTTCCAGTTGGTTTCTACAAAATGCAAATGAGAGGAGTTTGCAGAATGGATCTCTTTCACATCACTGTGCAGTCTCTTGTACAATTTCTGCCTTTTTGAAAGCACAGGGTGAGAGAACTGTCTCCAGTGTGTGTTAGAAAGAAGTCTCCATGTTGTGCTAAGTTTTGGAGCAGGCAGAAAGCTGTGGGAATATTAGAAATCAAAGGGACCACAACAATTTACTGGTGCTGAATTAAATAACCCTTTCCTTTCCCAAGTTCTTCGAATGTGACAGTAAACATGGGGTGGGAGGGCGCTTCCACATTAGTACCACTGGTCTCTCTTATGCTCCCTCTGCCTACTGTAGCTCTGCCCAGAGAAAGTCTAACCCATATCTTGACATTCACAGACAGTGTGCAGTGGGATCTGTGCAGATCATCCCAAATTTGTGGACCACTGGCTAAATTCTAGTCTCCAAGATAATTGCTTGCTGTGTAGTTCGAAGTTCATCTTCACTTTTCTTGATGCCTTAAGTTCAACTCAGTCTAAAACAGGCAAGGTAAATGGGACCTAATGCAGCCATAAATAACCTCTTCAGGAGGATTTTCACTGGTTTGGCAGCAGTTTTGTACTGCTTTGCTTGATCGTTTGGGTACTTGTCTTTTTTGAGATTCGCGTCCAGTAGCATCTTAAGGACTAACAAGATTTCCAAGGTATAAGTTTTTGAGAGTCAAAGCTCCCTTCATCAGATACTCCTTTAATCTTTTAGAGAGCTTTTAGAAGAGCCTCTTTTTCACCTTCTGTGTCCCTTGATGGATTCATGGTAATGGACAGCCCAGCCCTATGCCAGTGTCTTGCTGATGCCGGGTGTAGGTTTAGGATATCAACTGTCCTTGGCCAGCAGGAAAATGACAGGAAAAAACCTTACTACTTTGTCAAAGTAAAGGCATAGCAAATAGCACTGAAATACATTATGGCACTGCTAACATCCCCAGATTGCAGAACAGCGTGCTGATTTCCCTGTGCCAGTTATGCATAGAGAGAGCCAATCCTCACAGAGTGATGCCAGTACATCTCTATGACATCACCATGTCCCACTACATACACACACCTTAGAACATGGAAGGCACAAATATACCACAGCACCCTCAGCTGTATGAGGAACCGTCCTGTACCTAGTAGGAGCCCTGCAGACTAGAAACTCAATTCTCTTTTGACTGTTGGGTAGACGGAATGAAGGGTGGGCAACATGAGCTTTAAAGAGCTCCCTTTTTGTACAACATGCTTTTTCTCCAGAGTTTCCCTTACCTGACTTCCTACTTCAGTGTTGTATGTGTTGTGCATGGCATAAAGACAGGAAAAAAAAATCAAGTGCACCATGCCTTGTCATCTGAGACAGGTTTCTTGGCTGCAGGAGGGTTGCCAGGTCTGTTGGAAATGCCGGGGGGGGGGGCGTTCTGGGAGCCGGAAGTGTTGTCACACGAAATGCCTATGCCACCCGGAAGTGATGTGGGCATGTCAGGGGCAACGCTCTGGGTTTGGGGCAAAACTCTATAGTAAAATCAGCCTCAAACTGTTGTAAAATTTTTCCCCCAAACCCGAGTGCCTCCCCCCCCCCCCCCAATGTCACTGTCGTGCCTCCGTCACTTCCGGGTGACGCAGGCATGTTACGTTTATTTCTGGCGACATTGCTGTGTTTTGAGGTGGAATTTCCTGCAAAACCGGATGATCCCCTTGCCTCCAACTGGGGAATGGCAATCCTAGGCTGCAGTTCAAGTAATGCTATAGGTGAATTGTAGTTGACTTCAGAGTTAGTTGGAAGAGCTTAGATCCTGTCTAAATTGTGAGACGAGGGGCATTAGTTACCATTCTAAGACTCTTCATCAGGGTCTTATGATTGTGGTGTTAATGATGAGTACAGAAAACTGATAGGGTGTGGAGAAATGGGTACAATTATCTACATTATTCTAATTATTTATTGGTTTTAGTTTTCAGTTGACCAAAGAAATGGTGATGGAGAAGCCAAGTCCCCTGCTGGTTGGGCGGGAGTTCGTGAGGCAATATTATACCCTGTTGAATCAGGCACCAGATTACTTGCACAGGTAAAAAAATCTAATTTGGGCATAGTTGTTCTTTGTGGTATATAAGCTGGAAAGTATGTGTAATTAGCAGCTGGTTAAGGAGTATGAAATTGTTGCTGGTACCTGTGTTGTGGTACCTGTGCTTTTCTATACATTGTTCCATTCTTTTTAGCAGCCTGGCTATTAATAAATTTAAAATTATAGGGGGTTCTTTTTAAAAACCTAATCTCAATTTTTAAAGATCAGTTTGGACGATATTACATTTTAAAAAAAAAACATTAAAAAAACAACAACACCAAGCCTCTGTGTAACTTCAAAAGTTTTATGGCCTTATTGGTGTGCCCCTTTCACAAATTTTAACTGACCAGTTTTTCTTGTCCATAACAGTACTTATTTATGTGCAGCTGTGTAGGACTTTGCAAGCTAACAATAACATCTCCTCTACCTCCTACCCTGTTTTAATTGATGTGGGATTTGCTGGATCTTAGATGATAACCTTTTTCCTTCCAGGGCTCAGACTGAGAACATACGAAGTAAAGTTTAGCTTTTGTGCATCAGTAAAAGAGCTTGAAGCCATAGGATGTTTTGAGTAGCTTTTAATTCCATATCAAAGCAGTTTCCATACTGACCTCTGTTAAAGCACATGCTGTTTCTGCAGCACTCCTGCACTTTATTACAGCAAATGCAAACCGTGAATTGTGATAGATTTTACAGGTTTCTCTATGAATTAGTGTTAGGGAAAAGAAAAGGTAAATATTAGATAAGAGTGCCTTCAAAAGACCTAGAATTATACAGACTTTATCTTAATTTTCTGGGTCCAAAAAGGATACAAAGAGTACAGTTCTTTACAAAACAAAATAGGAGGCTTTGTAAAACTACTGGCAGCATATGTGTCAAACAGTGAACTGAATATGTCCAGTACATGTAATTATTTTTTTGTAAAGGCACATGCTATGGCATGTGCTGCATATCAGGCCTACAAATCATTCCCTTACAGCAACCTGGAATCACCAGTGATGACCATGCTATTTGTTAATAGCAAGCCTGAATTTAGGTGGGTGGGAAATCTTGCTGTACTTCATTCCTTGGAGGCAGTTGAAGAATGAATGGTCGCTGAAAATGGTTTGACAGATTATTGCTTTTACCGTATCTATACCTCAGTCAGATTGAGCCAGTTAGCCTAATGTCCATCCCGGGCCAACTAGTAGAAACTGTAATCAAAGATAGAATTATTATTGTTGTTGTTGTTGTTGTTACCCTGCCCTCCCCGCAAGTGGGCTCAGGGCGGCTTACAGCGATGGCACCAATTGCCAGTAAAACCAATAAAACAACATAGAACAATACAATACAGATAAAAACATAAAAACCATAAGGTGCTATGTATTATTTATTATTAGGCACATAGAGGAACAAAGCCTGCTGAGGGGGATTCAGGTCAGCTTCTAGAAAGGGAAGTCCTGCCTTACCAACCTTTTAGAGTTAAACTAGGGGGGACAGGATAGAGGGTTATATACGTGGGATGGAGAGAGAGCTGACAAATAACTTTTTTGCTCTCTCCCAAAATACTGGAACCCATGGGCATCCAATGAAGCTGATAGGCAGTAGATTCAGGACGGACAAAAGGAAATACTTCTTTACCCAGAGAGTGATTAAAATGTGGAATTCGCTGCCAGAGAATATAGTGATGGTCACAGGAATAAAAAGCTTTAAAAGGAGATCAGATAGATTCGTGGAGCATAGGTCTATCAATGGCTACTAGCCATGGTGACTGAGGGGAACCTCCATATTCAGAGGCAGTAAACCTCTAAATCCCAGAGCTAGGAGGCAACATCAGGGAAAGATCTAAACCCCTATGCCCTGTTGCCCCTCCAGGGGAACTAATTGGCCACTTTGTGAGACAAGATACTGGACAAGATGAGCCACTGGTCTAATCCAGCGGGGCTCTTCATATGTTCTTAACCCAGAGATTGTTGTGCCTGAAACCAATAGTGCTGACATTTTATTGCATTGAGGGCCCATGTAGTGAATTGGACTTGTACATAGTGAACTGTGTGTAAAATTATTCCCTCACAGATTTTATGGAAAGAATTCCTCTTACGTCCACGGTGGTTTGGATTCAAATGGAAAACCAGCGGATGCAGTCCATGGGCAGTCTGTAAGCGTTTGTGAAATTGTTTTGTAACTGACTGTGAAATGTGATTAAGTCAGTATAAATGTTCAGAAAGCATTTCAAATTGGTTAGCATCTTGCATGTGTGTGAGAAAAGGTAGCATCATACTGTTGTATTAATGCATCACAAATCTGTCAGAAATGTAAATTTCTAGTATCAAGATTAAATTTCATACTGGGAATTTTATTAGCCTTTGTTAATAGTTTTGTGTGGTTTTTCAGTGGTTTGATGCAGATATGTGCTAGATTAGTATACAGAATGTATTTTAGAATAGTGGTGGTATTAATACACAGCTTCTTGAATTTAAATAGAGAAAGTGGTGTCAGTGGAAACAGAAAACTGTACTTGCGAAGTGTCTCATAAGCTTTAATATAATTTCTGTAGGATATCCACAAGAAGGTGTTGTCACTGAACTTTAAGGATTGCCATACAAAGATCCGTCATGTGGATGCTCACGCTACTCTTAATGATGGTGTTGTAGTACAGGTCATGGGCGAGCTCTCTAATAACACTCAGCCATTGCGAAGATTCATGCAGACTTTTGTCCTTGCTCCTGAGGTATGTATCCTGGGGGAACTGATGACAGTGAATCAATATGCTGAATATACATATGTTACTTCTGTGGCACAGGACTGTAGGGCTGGAATGCTGGGTGGTAGGGTTCTTTCTCTGCCATTGCCTGTGACATTGCTATATTTTTGAGTCTTTAGCAACTTGGTTGCCTCTATGTGTCCAGATAACTTTCTTGTCTTGTGTGTACTGTGGCTTAGCTGTCACTGTACAACAAAACTCTCCATACCTAAGTATCTGCCTAGTCTCCTAATAAGTGAGTGAAGTGTTCTTGCTATTTAAGTCAAAAGAGCTGTTATCATTCATAACAGGAAAGTGCTGCTTGCTACAAGGCCTTGATCTAGTGTTTTGTCATCAAGAAATTGCTTAAATTCATGATTAGCAGTGCAATGAGACCAAAGACGTTGAGTTCTTCTACAAAGAATAATGACATTATTTTATTTTCCTCTTTTACTTTGGCCATAATATCTGTGAGATTTCATCCTTGGCACTGTAGAGAATTTCTTCTCCTTGGTGAAGAGGTGGTGTTCCTGGTGTTGGGATAGGCAACATTTTTGGCCTGAGTTTCTTAAAATAGCTCCTGCATGTAAAGATTTTGGTGAGCTTGCAAGCAAGAAGAGGAAATGTGGCTTGCTTTTGGTCAGACATGTTTCGGAGTAAGCTGAGCCCCAGCATTTCTGCCACTATCTTAAGGGCTCGCCTCTATCCTGTCAGTAGATAACCAGTCCTGTGTGCCAAGTAGGGCTGGGGTGATGATGGTTCAGTATGTGTATTGGAGTTGCCTACTATTACAGCATAAATGGATCTTCTTCGTGGTCTCTGTGCATCACACCCTTGGGGATATACTGCGCCTGCGCTGACCTTCTCGGTACCGGTAGCTAGCAAAAGGGATTTTCGCGCCTCTCCCAGGTCACGCGCCGGCTCCACTGCGCATGACCAAGGAGGGGCACGCAGATCCCGCCAGTTCTTTTCTGACCGCCGCGCTGGTAGGACGCCTTCTGCTTCGGTCTGTTAAGTACCTAACTTTCTGCTAAACTTGCGTTTAGTTAGTTTCCTTTTCTTTATTTTGTTTTTTGTAGTTAGCATTTTTCTTCGGTGTGTTTGTTCCTTGTCTTTAACGTTTCCCCCTCCGCTGGCCTATGGCCCCGCGGTGGGGTTGTTTCAAACGGTGTAAGACTTGCGGCCTTAAAATATCTCCCACCGACGGGCATTCGCTTTGCCTCGTCTGTTTAGGGGAGTCGCACTGTGTTTCTAAGTGCGGACATTGCCAGAAATTCTCGAACCAGACGAGAAAAAACAGGGCAGCTCGTCTGCACTTGGCTTTGATGGAGAAGGCGCTATCTCCACAGTCGTCTTCGCCGTTGGACACGTCCGGGCACGCCTCGATGTCCACCCTGGCTGCGGACACTTGTCCTCCCGTTTCGGGACCATCGACGTCGACGGTCGCAATCGATGCTTCGGCACCGAAACGATCGACGCCGATAAAAGACCACCCCGTACCTTCCAAGATCCGGAAGCAGGGGATATCTGATGCCGTACCTTCCAAGATCCGGAAGCAGGGCAAAGACTCACAGCAGTCGAAGAAACCTAAAACGGACAAGTCGAAAGTCCATAAGGTTTCAGCTAGTCAAGGTCGAGATCTCACGCAAGAACCTCATCACCTGATTGGTTCAGATCTCGACATCGACCTTACTCAGCAGACAAATCAGTCGCAATCTGATATGTCGAGTCGTCAATCCTCTCATGCTTCCCCGGAACGTGGAGTCGATGATCGACACCGACCGGCATCCCCTACTTTAACCTGGGATGAGAGACAGTGGCATTACTTGTATGGAAGCCGATACCCATACCCATGGGCTTTTCCTCCACCACCTCCACCTGACTGGGATCGTCAATCGGTGTCATCCCGCATCTCGCAGTTTCGGGATCGATCCTCGGTATCGAAGCAGTCCATGCCGATACATCCACCAGACCCGGCTGCACCCCCGGTCAACATGCCGACAACGCATCAACCGGAATTACCCGGATCATCCCCGGAACCATCCAATGTATCCTCCGATTCAGACGACTCCTCTGAACATATAGAGGACGTGAACATACAATCCACCCCACAGGATGTGGAAGCGGATCTGCCTATTTCTCCATCAGAGGATGTTAAGTCATATGGAGACTTTGTTCAACGTATGGCGTTGGACCTGTCTATGACTCCTACTCTCGTTGCCAGTTTCGTGGATGACAATGTTTTTGACATTATGCATTCCAACACTTCGCCTTCTGTGGCTCTTCCAATGACAAAAGTCCTCTTACAAACTACTAAGGACTTTTGGACCCATCCAGCCTCCATTACTGTATCCAATAAACGTCTGGATCACATGTACAAGATCCAAGAATCTGGGGCTGAGTTTCTATACACGCATCCTAAACCCAATTCTTTGGTCGTATCGTCGTCCACGAAAGGAAAATCGAGTCACTCAACGCCATCAGATAAGGAAGGAAAGAAGTTGGACTCGGTGGGCAGAAAATTTTACACTGTCGGTGCAATGGGCATTAAAACGGCAAATTATGCAGCCTGCATGGGCCGCTATCAGTTCAATTTGTGGAAACGCTTAAACGACTTCCTTCCACATGTACCAAAGGAATGTCAGCCTCAGATTAAGAGGCTTCAAAATGAAGGGATGGTACTGGCTAGACATCAAATTAGTGCTGCCAAGCATTCCTTGGAATCTGCTAGCAAGACTCTAGCAACTTCCGTAGCCCTACGCAGACATGCCTGGCTCCGTTCCTCCTCATTGCCATATGATACCAGATCGTCGGTGGAGGACCTTCCTTTTGAAGGCTCTGGACTGTTTAGTTCCACCACTGATACGGTATTACAGGAAATGGATAAGAGTATCAAGACGTCTAAAAGTCTGGGAATCTCTCCCCCAACTAAATACCCTAAGACCAAGCAATGGCCTAGACAATCTTGGTCTTCTAGACAACCGTACAACAAATCGCCTACGGATCAATGGCAAAGACCTCCCTCTTCTCAGTCAAGGTCTTTTCCCCCTAAGAATAAAGGACAATCATCGGGTGCCTATAAGTCGAAGTTTCCCAAGAATCCCAAACAGGGGCTTTGACTTCAGCCTTACTGCTCATACTCGCCTCGCTCCCTTTCTTCACGCATGGCTGGACATTTCTACAGACAAATGGGTTCACTCTATAATAAGAGATGGCTATCTCATAGAGTTTTCTCAAATCCCCACAATTTCCCATTTCGTCGGAACTCCAACGTCACCTGTCCTGATGCAAGAAGTACGATCTCTGTCACTGAAAAACGCTATAGAGATAGTCCCGGCGGCAGATCGTTGCCACGGGATTTATTCCAGATATTTCACGGTCCCCAAGAAGGACGGAGGACTTCGTCCAATTATGGATCTAAGATTTCTCAATCGATTCATTGTTTACAAAAAGTTTCGTATGACCACTTTGCAAAGTATTTTACCACTCCTGCCTCCAGGGACATGGATGGTCACTTTAGATCTCAAAGACGCTTATTTTCACGTCTCCATCCATCCTCGTCACAGAAAATTCCTCAGATTCACGGTCGGAGAGGACCATTATCAATTCAAAGCCCTCCCCTTCGGGCTCTCTACCGCCCCCAGGGTTTTCACGAAGGTAATGGTGGTTGTCGTCGCCCACCTTCGTCTTCAGGGCATTCAGATTTTTCCGTACATAGACGACTGGTTAATGGTGGCAGATTCAAAGGACTGTCTCCTTCAGCACATCACCATTACACTGTCGACCCTATCCTCCCTTGGAATTCTAGTCAATTTGCAGAAATCCATGCTGCAACCTGCAACTCGCGTGCAGTTCATAGGAGCTGTCATAGATTCCCTGGCCACTCGGGCCTACCTTCCTCGCCAACGGGCAGATACCATTCGTCTGGAAATTCGACGTTTGTTCCGATCCAATGTGACATCAGCAGTCCACGTTCAGCGGATCCTGGGTCTCATGGCAGCCACCACCTCTGTGATCGAGTGTGCACGCCTTCGCATGCGTCCGTTGCAGCTTTGGTTTCTAAAGAAATTTCGCCCCTCCTTTCACCCCCCAAGTCTTCGACTAGTCGTGCCTCCTCAGGTCCTTACCTCCCTGCAGTGGTGGCTCGTGGACACCAATTTGCTGGCGGGTGCACCGTTCCAACCGATTGTTCCCGTGATGTCGATCACCACAGACGCCTCCCTGTGGGGTTGGGGTGCTCATACGGACGACACTTGTGTGGGTGCTCCATGGCAGCCCCTTTGGAAACGTCATCACATCAACTATCTGGAACTGCTGGCCGTAAAATTTGCCCTCAGATCCTTGCACAAACAGGTTGCAGGGAAAGCTGTGTTAATATTTACGGACAATACAACTGCAATGGCTTATATCAATCGCCAGGGCGGGACAGTGTCCAGATCCCTTTGCAGGCTAGCTATGGACATATGGGAAGAGTGCCTTCATCGGAATATCACTCTCCAAGCTGCCCATCTGCCAGGAACTTTGAACCAGCAAGCAGATTTCCTGAGCAGAGGAGGAGCATCGGACCACGATTGGGAGCTGAATTCAAAGTATCTCCTCCCTCTTTTTCAACGTCTGGGACATCCCCACATCGATGTTTTTGCAACTCGATTCAACAAGAAGTGTCCCATGTTTTGTTCCAGAGCGGGGTTGGACCCTCTGTCACTGGGGGACGGCCTGTTGATATCGTGGGCTCACAACTTTCTGTACCTATTTCCTCCGATTCCGCTGCTTCACAGGGTGTTGGTGAAAATACAACACGACAAGCCCCATTGTCTTCTAGTAGCCCCCTGGTGGCCTCGGCAAGTTTGGTTCCCGACACTGTTGAGGTTAGCCAAGGGATCCTTTGTACACCTGCCGCAGGAGTTGGATCTCCTCCAGGCTCAGGAGGGCCAGGTCCTTCACTACGATCCTCTGAGTCTCAAGCTGACTCTGTGGGAAATACGCTTTCAGTGATGGACGCTCGTATCAATGATGTCTTGTTGAACTGTCGTAAACTGTCTACTCGGACTTCCTACACAAGGAAGTGGAATCTATTCCTGCAGTATTTGAATTCCTCAAATCTACCTCCTCCGCCAGTGGATTTGAGGTCTATTTTTGCATTTATTTTGTCCAGAATGGACTTGGGTCTCAGTTTTTCGTCGGTTAAAGTGTATTTAGCTGCGGTGTCAGCTTTTCATCCATCTGTTGATGGGTTTTCAGTTTTCTCGCATCCTCAGACAAAACAGTTTTGTAAAGGCCTTATTCGCCTGTACCCTCCCCGTCGTCCTCCAACCCCGGCCTGGGATTTGGCTTTAGTTTTGCGTTTTTTGATGGGAAAACCTTTCGAGCCATTGGCCACTTGCTCTCTAAAATTGCTGTCACTCAAGACTGCGTTTTTGGTGGCCATTACCTCTGCTCGTCGGGTCAGCGAATTGTCTGCTCTGAGGTGTGATCCACCATACTTAAGTTTTTCCCCACATGGGGTTTCATTGTCTTTGGACATCTCCTTTTTACCGAAAGTTGTTTCGGAATTTCATTTACGTTCAGATGTAGTTCTGCCATCATTTTTCCCGTCTCCTGCTAATGAAGAGGAACGGAAATTGCATTCTCTGGATGTTAAGAGAGCGTTGTTGTTCTATTTGGGCAGGACTAAGTCTTTTCGCCAGTCTCCAGCTTTGTTTGTTGCTCACAGTATGCCCTCCCAAGGGAAGAAGATCTCTTCCCAGAGGCTGTCGAGATGGATTGTGGAGGTGATCAAGCTATGCTACGCTTTGGCTAAGAAACCTCTTCCAGGTCAGCTTCGCGCCCATTCTACGAGGGCGGTAGCAACTTCCACAGCTTTCCTGCGAGGTATGCCGTTGGAGGACATCTGCAACGCTGCGACTTGGGCTACTCCGCTCACCTTCGTGAAGCATTATGCCCTTGATGTCCGGTCTTCTCGTCGTGTGGCGTTGGGTCGGTCTATATTGCAGACGGCGCAGATGTAGGGCCTCGGCCCCTCCTCCAGGTAAGAGTTATTGCTTGCTATTCTCCCAAGGGTGTGATGCACAGAGACCACGAAGAAGATAGACAGGTTGCTTACCTGTAACTGGTGATCTTCGAGTGGTCATCTGTGCATTCACACCACCCGCCCTCCTTCCCCTCTGCTCTCGGCCCTTCATCTTGTTTCTTTGAAGGCTGTTGGGCGGCGGTCAGAAGGAACTGGCGGGATCTGCGTGCCCCTCCTTGGTCATGCGCAGTGGAGCCGGCGCGTGACCTGGGAGAGGCGCGAAAATCCCTTTTGCTAGCTACCGGTACCGAGAAGGTCAGCGCAGGCGCAGTATATCCCAAGGGTGTGAATGCACAGATGACCACTCGAAGATCACCAGTTACAGGTAAGCAACCTGTCTTTATGGTTCCAAAGTGTATACTTAAAATTATTACCTTTCTCACAATACAAGAACTCGTGGGCACTCAATGAAATTGCTGCGCAGTCGGGTTAGAACGGATAAAAGGAAGTACTTCTTCACCCAAAGAGTGATTAACACATGGAATTCACTACCACAGGAAGTGGTGGCGGCTGCAAGCATGGACGGCTTCAAGGGAGAATTAGATAAACATAAGGAGCAGAGGTCCATCAGTGGCTATTAGCCACAAGGTATAGATAGGGACTCTCAGGCTGGGGCAAGTGATGCACTATATTCTTGGTGCATGGGGGGGGCAACAGTGGGAGGGCTTCTAATGTCTTGGCCCCACTGGTGAACCTCCTGATGGCACCTGGTATTTTTGGCTACTGTGTGACAGTGTTGGACTGGATGGGCCATTGGCCTGATCCAGCATTGGCTTCTCTTATGTTTTTATGTTCTTATGTAAATATATTTGTAATGATAACAAGTGGCAGTTCTGGTGTGCTACTTTGCTTTGTAGTTTCTGTGCTCTTTGTATTGCTTAGTAAGGGCTACAGTCCTGAGAACTATGATCTAGTGTGATGTGTAATCTCACCATGTCCCGCCTTCATGATAGATTGTCCTGACACTGAGGTAACCTTGTTGATTTGCCTCTGTTACTGACAAGTATCAATACAGAGCATTATTTATTCATGTGGGTTCCTTGTATTTGTTATTGGCATATAGCCTGAAATATTAGTTGTTCACAAAGTGCTCTTTAACTTGGCCACTTTAGTAATGGGGCGTTTTTCTGCTTACTGTTTAACTGTTGGCTATGCTATTGTGTTTAATGCCACACAAACATGGCCCTATAGTGTTCTTTGTTTCGTACAAGCACTTCAAAGCTGCAAGTCATGAAAAAGCGTTCCATTAACATTGGATCTGCCCTTAATATTTTACCTTTTCTATGTTGAAAGAGGAAAGTTACAGTTAAGCATTATGTTACAAATGAAGAAGGAGCAAAAAGTAATGCATGCATATGTTTACTGTCTCTAAGCAGAAATTGGTTTATCTCAAGAGGAAGTATGAGATTTGGCAAAATGAAAGTGCTTTGATGGTCCAAGACTGTAGATTGTTTTACTGAATGGGCAGGAACTAAAAGTGATTCTGAATGTGTTTGGGACTGGAAATGTCAGTTCTTATGCTTCTGTTAATGTAAGGGAAAGTTCTGTAGATGTAAAACTGACTTTACACCAATGTTATTTATTTGGTGGGAGATGCCTGTGGTTCTTCTGAGCACCATTCCCCAATGTTGCACCTGCCGCATATTTCAGGAAAGTGGGCAAAGCCCTTACCCATGGGGCTCCTGGTTGATAGGTTTCCCTCCTTGAAACAGCCACTGCTAGAGGAAGAGCTAAGCTGGGAGCCTTCCTGAAGTGCAGGCCTCATGCCAGGGATGGAAATAAATGTTACTGTTTTGGTAGCTGGTAATTGTAAATTGGGCTCTCTTTGAGCTGCAGAATAAGTAAAAAGGTAAAGGTTCCCTTGCTCGAAAGCCAGTCGAATCTGACTCATCTCCGTTTCAAAGCCGAAGAGCCAGCACTGTCCGAAGACGTTTCCATGGTCATGTGGCTGGTATGACTAAACACCAAGGTGCACTGAACGCTGTTACCTTTCCACTGAAGCGGTACCTATTTATCTACTTGCAATTTATTGCTTTCAAACTGCTAGGTTGGCGGGAGCTGGAACTAGAGACGGGCGCTCACTCCGTCATGCGGCACACTCGGGTCTCGAACTGCTGAACTACCGACCTTCCACAGTCTGCAGTTCAGCGTCTTAACCACTTGAGCCACTGCAGCTCAATAAGAATAAGCAGAATAAGTACCACTGATTTAAATCATTCAGTCGTGATGGATGAATTCATTTCTTAACCAGTGGCCTTCTCTCTCTGTGTGTAAAGTGCTGTCAGATTGTAGCCAACTTATGGTGACTCCGTAGGGTTTTCAAGGTAACTGATGGGCAGAGGTGGGTTGCCATTACCTGCCCCTGCAAAGCAACCTTGGACCTCGTTAGGGGCCACCCCATCCAAGTACTAAGTAGGGCTGACCCTACTTAGCTTCCAAATTCTGATGAGATTGGACTAGCCCAACTCCAATAGTCAGTTATTGAAAGCAGTAATGGAATTATGGAAAACTTGGGAAAGGTTGAGTTAGGATTAGAAGCTAGTTTTTTTGTTTTGATGACAACCAAGATAAGAAACTCTGAAGAGCATTAGACTAGGTTTTGTGGTAGCAATAATTGGTGAATACCATCATTAATACAAATCCCTGAAAGATGAAAAATGAATCTAGCTCCTAAATTTCTGGGCTGGTTTCTAGAGCCATAGAAAATTTGTCAAGGCCTGATTTATAGTGTTAGAAGGCCATCAGGGTTACATCTTTGTATCCATCATATTTAAACTATTTGGAAATCTCATATGGATCAAGAGATGTTATATTTCCTTACAGTGCAATCCTAAACAGAATTATACTCTTCTAAATTCATTGACGTCTCAGTGGGCTTAGAAGTGTATAACTCCTGGGGTTGCACTGTGAAAACTATTGAATGGTGATATTCTGTTCTGTATGGAAATGGTTTAATTTAGCAGCTTAATCCTCTAAATAACCTAAAACTTTACTGTAAAAATCATTCTTCAAAAATAAGAGATGGCCTCTCTTAATAGCTGCTTAAAAATGTTTAAAGTAAGTGGTTGAACTGCACCTGTGAAGGACAAATAAGCAATGCAAGAGATGTTTCTTGATGGTAAAGCTGGACTACTAATGTGTGTCTGTATTTTAAAATATTTCGAGCTAAGGGGCGACCACTTTCACTTAGTAACTACATTTGTTACTTGCTTAGAAACTGTTCAGTTGGTTTACTGAATGCAATAGTGAAATAGCTGTAGATGGTGAACACATTATCAGGCTAACTTCTGTGGGAGCATTCTCAATCAGCCTTTCTCTTTGGCTCTGTTATATTGGTGAGTCTTGTGTACCCTAGCTCTTGTCTTCCGGTGTCTGGAATGACTCTGTACTAGGTGGAGCATAGTTTGGGGACATCTATGGATTGGAAGTCATGGCCAGGAATTTCTTGTATGATAAAGAGGCAAAACAGAGCTGCCCAACAAGTGAATAGGATTTATGCTGATAGAGTAAAACTACTGTTGTAGTCCCAGAATTAATGAGGGTGATTGATTGAACTTAGTTTTGCCCTTGTTTTGTTTACAGGGATCTGTTGCAAACAAATTTTATGTCCATAATGACATTTTCCGTTATCAAGATGAAGTGTTTGGTGACTTAGATACTGAACCTGCTGAGGGTAAGTAATGTGTTTTATCTTATTCTGTAAAGTTCTGCTAGTATATTTCCCTCCCAGATTAATTGTGAACATTGAACTGTGTATGTTATATCTTAAAGATCTACATTCAACCCGTTTACTGAAAGAAAACAGTTAAAGAAAAGTTAATCTGGTAAAGAAAGCTAAAGTACCCTGTTTCCCCGAAAATAAGACCTACCCCCAAAATAAGCCCTAGCAGGATTTCTATGCATTTGTGGTATAAGCCCTAGTGTGTCTTCTTGAGAAAAAATAAATATAAGACAGTGTCTTATTTTCGGGGAAACACGGTAGCTACTCACTGTTGCTCTTCTGTAACCTTAAGGTTAGACTGTTGCAATGTGCTTCAAGTAGGTTGGTGATGGAAAATGTTTATAAGCTCCAGCTAGTACAGAAAGCTGTGACATGGTTTGCAGTAGAACAGCTAGATATGAATCTAGTAGCACCTTAAGAGACCAGCAAGATTTTGGGGGGAACTTTGTCGAAAGTCTGTACCCCCAAAATCTTGATAGTTTCAGGTGCTACTGGACTCGAATCTAGCTGTTAAATATTTACTTCTTGCTTGTATAATAATGTGAACTACTAGACTGAATGAGTAATGGTATTAATAAGTAACTGTTGATTCTCTATTCCCCTCCCCCCTGCAATTTCCCAGTCTTCTCACAAGACTAGGTGTGGTATATAAGTGTTTTTGAACATTCATGTGCTGTATAGTTGTGAGGGTTGAAACTAATGCAAAGTCACATTCAAATTCTTAAAGATTTATTTAAAAATCTGTTGTACAAATACTGTCAAGTTAAACAAGTATTAGCTGCAGTGATACTCATATGCAAATTATTGAGTTTATTTGACTGTACTGTCAAAATCTTTTTCTTGTCCTTGATGCATCAAATCCTGCTGTTGACACCATCAGAATCTGAGGAAGAGACAGAAGAACCTGAGGAAAGGCAGCAGACCCCTGAGGCAGTTGCTGATGAGTCTGCAGCCTACTATGAGCAGTCTGTCAGGTAAATTCTCACACAATCATTCCACCTCATCTGACCGTTTTGTCTACTAACGTTGGCTGCACTGGTTGAAAAAAGCCTGAAGAATGGTATCTGATTACATATGTTCACTTCTTCATCAACTATATTCGAATGTTACTTGTCTTTTGACTTTGATCTCCCGCTGTGTCAGAATTGACTTTCTCTTTAAAATGTCATCGAACAGGTTGATAAGTGTATTGTTTGTTTGTTTCAGGAAATTTCTGATTTGGGGATGTTATTTTTTTAATTTAAACTGTGCCTGTGAGAAATATTAATGTGGGAACATCAGTTCTCAACATCTGATTTGGGGGAGGATCGTGAAAGTCAGGTTTCTTTTGACCTTGATGGTTACTGTTGTTGTTTTTTAAGCATAAATCTACATGAACTTGTGCTAATTAAATATAAGGAAGGTATGTGTATGTTTGAAGAAGTAATTGTGCACACTTCTAAGAACTGCTGCATGAGGATAGAGGTGAACTGGAGTAACACACTGTTAAGTGCTGCTGTTGAGCAGCGCAAATGAATTGTTACCCATAGTGAATAGATTTCCCTTCCACAGCAATGACTTGGAGGAGCAGTTGGAGGAGCCAGCTGCAGAGGCAGAACAAGAGGCTGAGCCTGAGCCTGAACAGGAGCCAGAGCCGGAGGCCCAGGAAGAAAAACCTGAGCCAGTGCTGGAGGAAACGACTCCTGAGGAAACAGTAGAGAAGAGTCCTTCTCCTGTTCCTGCAGATCCAGCTCCTGTGGTGCAGGAGGACTCTAGGGTAATATGTGAATGACAGTTTCACTGACAATCTTCATCAAGTTTGTTCTTCCACAGTTTAAGGCTGTTTTCTTAAGATCTAGGAGAGATCTGCCAAAAGCTTGCAAAACCCTCATGTTATTCTTATATAGGTTGTGCCACATACATCTTTCTTCTCCCTCATGCTTCCTTGAAGAAAAGCCAGCTGTATGTTTGTCTGGAGAAATTCCTGAAGATTGCGAAAGCAGTCATTTAGATTGTATTGTAATAACAAAGTTCTAGGTAGGGTTGTGCATCATGAAAAAAAATCAATATTTTTCACATGGTGCTGGAAAATATCCATATTCCCTGTTATTCAGTTCCAAAATACCAGTTTGATATTTGGATCCAGGATGGAGGGGGGATTCCAACACCCCTCGAATGAAGCACAACACAAGTTATGGGTTAAACTGGGAATTTTATTTATACATAAGCTGATCTGCACCATCTCATTAACACATTAAAGCACGGGTTGCATTGTGCTTGCAAAACAAGCCTCCTAACAGGGCAAACCCATCCTGGCTCAGGGCCAGGTCTGGGATCCTTCCGGACCTTACTCATCGTGACCCCGCATTCCAGTGCATAGAGGGGAGTGAGGGCACATTCCAGCCCACGACCGCAAAGCCTTAAGGCTTGTCCTATGCCCCCCCCAACCCCAAGGAGGCTCCCAACTGAGTCACCCTGACTGCAAAGCCCACAGGTACCCAATTTGATGAACTCCCCCCCCCCCATCACTGATACCCTGGGGTGCTTGCCAACATCCTCAACCCGTGCTTTTCCTCCCTTGGCCAAACTGAGGAGGGAGGGCAGCCACTGCCAGACCTGGTTGGCAAGCCAGCCCTTGATGGGCCTGGGTTCCTGTGCTGAGCCCCAGTTGGCTCCCAACACCCTCATGCTTCCTCTGAGAAGGTGGGGGGTGGCGGCAAATGCCGGCACCTGCTCCACGGGCAGGCACCAGTCTTATTGTTGTTATTTGGCTCCTTTGTTCCCTCTGGGAAATCTTTCCAAGGAGATGAAGGGGCTATTATTTAAGCAAATGGCACCAAAATTACAGCAGAGCTGATGGTGCCTGTTCACTAAATAACCCTCATGTTTCAAATGAATTGGACCAAGAGGCCACTGAACAAACTGCCCCCCTCCCCGCCATTCTCCATTGCTTCATAGCTAAAGGCCTCTGAATGCATACAGAACCAACAAGCCCAACAGAACCAGTGCAGAAACAGGGAATTACAGCAGAACCATGGAGCAGTGTGGCAGCCCTAACGGGAATGATAACCCCCAGAGTGGATGATGGCCCCATAGCGGCCCCAGTTTGCAGCTGGGCTGTCATTCCAGTTGCAAAACACTTCTACTCTCGGGGCTGTCATTCCACTCTAGGGCCTGTCATATCAGTCCCAGAGCAGTCTGTCTGGGCCCAGAGACCCATCATTCTAAATCTGTTCTGCATTTTCATTGCAAATTTCTGTGCTATAACGCATTTCAGTGAAGCCCATGCAAGTTTGGCATTCTTGGCTCCCATAGTAATCCAGTCAGCATTCCATCATTTCTTGTTGCTGCCAGTAGGCAATCCTGTCATTGGTTTTAGTACATCCCCCAATGTTGAACCAGAGAATTCAATGCAAACCTACTTGATCGAAGAACACAATGTTGCGAGACCAACAAAACCAATTTCAAACCACAAAATTTAAGCCAAACCAAATTTGGCAAGCTGATACCAAGCCCTGGGAAGAAGACACTAACACTGACATTGCAGCAAAATGATAGAAAAAACAGTCCTGGGAGATTTAACACTCTGGTCCCCATTATTCCTGGTTACTCCCAAATATTTCAGGAATTTTTATATAATCGGGTGAAACATGAACCACCTTATCTACAAACAAGAATTCTAAAACTGGATTTGTGGTTTCAGAATCCTAGGCTGTAGTCAAAACGAAAAGCGATTTGAACTTCAACAAGCTAGTTTGTTCTAAATTATTTTGAGCCATGTGTGAGAAGAAAGATGTGGAGAGTGTGTGCAAGCTTGTGGATTTACTGGCTTATTTTCAACATTGAGGCTCAAGAAATGTGGTGATTATTCTCAGTACAGTATGGAGACTGCCATCTCCCAGGTGTCATTCTTGAGAGATTGTCTCCATCCTTAGAGTTATTTAACATCTGGGTCTTGTGAATGGCTAATCTTGAAAACTGCTGCGTTGGAGCATGTCTGTATCTCATCCTAGCTATTGGGAGAACTTGAAAGGAGGTTGCTTGATATATATAAATGGTATAAATGGTTCATAATAATAGAATAAAGGATAAGATTGTGATTTGGGAGTCATTTTGGAAAAAAAATGAAGAAATGTGATGGACATCTTATGTAATTTTGAAGAGCACTGACATCTGGGTTCACTCAGGAATGCTGAAATACTGTTTGTTCCTGTTAGACATCTTCATGGGCATCTGTAACCAGCAAGAATCTTCCACCTAGTGGAGCTGTTCCAGTATCAGGCATACCTCCTCATGTTGTCAAATTACCTGCCTCACAGGTAGGAATACCTTACCTGACCAACTGATGACCTTGGCTGCCAAGGCCCACAGGCTGTAACACAGCGTTAAAATTAATTAGTAAAATTAGTTTGTACTTGGTGGCAATTCTAGCACCAGATAATTATGTTGATACCCAGTTGTTTCAGGAGATCCAAGCTTTTCATTCATTAGTTATAACACAAGTACTAGGGGAAATGCAGTTTTCCCACCATCTGCATTTTTTGCTGTTGCTTTGAATGTGAACTCTCTCAGGTGACATTTCCATAACAATTTGAAGTGTTGTGTATTTTGTTTGCACAAGTGTCCCTTCTACCTATTCTCTAGTGCTCATGGCATTAGTCACTATCACCTCAGATAATGGTCAAATTATTTTAAGGAAGTTTCTTTAAACTTCTCTATCAGTACTGTTCCAGTATATGGCCTCTTAAAATTTTAGAGGGCATGATTAGTCTGGTGCATCATTACAGCTTTTAGGAAGCATCCATACATTTGAAGGGCCAGTGAGACTAGGAAAATTGTGACTGTTTGGAGGTTATATTTGAAATGTTACCTCTATAATAGTGAGGAGTATCTTGGCTACTTAAAGACAAATGAATTTATTATGGAATAAATACACCATCTTTGGGGGAGGTACATGGGGTGCAGCATGGGAAGGAGTACCTTTTCATTAATGCTTCCAGCACAGATTGATTTTCCATATCTCTTCATTCAAAAAAGACTACGCGGAGTGAAGGAGGCCGCCTGCTTTGTGCAGTCTGGCTGTTAAATATATTTCCCTTCCTCCTAAGTTCCTAGGGCCATTAATTGTCATGGTGGTCAAGATCAAGGAATTTATTTATGAGAGATAACATTGCCTGGCTTTTGCATCTCATATTTGTGCTGGTACATTTGTGCAGCCCCGTCCTGAGTCAAAGCCTGAATCCCAGACTCCACCACAGAGACCTCAGCGGGACCAGAGGGTGCGCGAGCAACGGACAAACATCCCCCCACAAAGAGGTCCTAGACCAAGTAAGAGGCATCTTAAAAATATTCCTTCCACATTATCTAGGAATTGAGAGCAGGTAACATAGACCTACTAAATTGGCTGCTATTATATTGACTGTTTTAATTTCTGTGGTGATACTAGAGGCACTCAGTTCTGTAAAATAAACTCAGCCAGACTCTTTGAAGTCTGAAATGCTACAGTGAATCCTTCATTTTGCTTTAAGCAGTAAGCCACTTGGCATGTTGATGTCTCAGGTTTTTGAATGGGAAAATTGTGAGTGTTTGGGATTATATTTGAAATGTTACCTCTATAATAGTGGGGAGTATCTTGGCTGCTTAAAGACAAATGAATTTATTACCGTCTTTATGAACCAGAGTTTAGCTGATCAGAGAGATGCAGTGTTGTGTTCATTTGGCAGAGATATAATTGCACAAAGCTGCAAAGAGAAGCCATAAGGCCAAGCATCGCAAAATATTACAAATCACTGATGAAAACAAGATTCAGTTTTTTAAAAAGGAAAATAAAGCTGGTAAATAATTAAGATCGATCAAATAAAATTCAATCTGCAGTTTAAATTTGTAGCAAGCTTTTGTTCCTTGGGTGCAGCAGACTGAGCTGCAAATTTACCTCTACAGTGATTTTCATAAAGTATTGTGAAAAGGTGTCATAGTTCCTATAAGAAATCAAGTGTCTTCATGCCATTCCAAATCTTAAATGAAATTTTTGCGGTATGTTATCTCTGTATTTTTAATTCAAGTGCGGGAAGGAGAGCAGAGTGATATGGAAACTAGACGGATCGTGAGGTACCCAGACAGTCACCAGCTGTTTGTTGGAAATCTTCCTCATGATGTGGATAAGTCAGAACTAAAGGACTTCTTCCAAAGTAAGTCGCGGACTTTGTTGTTCTATTGGTGGGGCTTTGGGGCTTTGTGTTTAAGAATACATGCTTTTTCTTCAGAACAGTCTAATGTGTGATCAAAGAACTTGGAAATTCTCTTGCAGGTTATGGGAATGTTGTGGAACTACGTATCAACAGTGGAGGAAAGCTCCCTAACTTTGGATTTGTGGTGTTTGATGATCCTGAACCAGTTCAGAAGATCCTGGGCAATAGGGTACATTAAATTCCAGCAAGTAACGTTTAAGTGACACGGGTCATATTTGAAGTCTACTAAAATTGTTAATTTCAAATAACTGTTTCAAGGATGCTAACTAGAATGCTGTTTGCATTGGTTTTCTTCAGAATAGAGATATCCAACAGTCAAGGCCTCATCTAATCCATGCCCAGATTGCATTTAGAAGCAAAACAAAAACCCCTCCCTCCTTTAGGGTAGAGCTGGTGTGTTGGTGTGAATGCCATGTGTTGAGCGTGTATTAACCCTTGGCTGAGCTACAGTGTTAATTTGTGGTGGTGGTTTGAAATCATTGTGACCAGAACACAAAGCTTCCTATAAAATCTTGAATGCATGCAGAAGCTGCAAGTGTTCAGAAGAATTGATGAAGCTTAAGTTCTTTTAAAAAAAATTCATCATGACTTTGGACAAGATTACTTTGGCATCTGGCTAGTCCCAGGTAAGTGGAGATATGGAGGGAAGAGCCCTTTATTCAGGCAGGAGACCTCTTAATTCATAAGAACACTTTATATGATTTGGAGGTCAGGTCTATTTAACATCAGTATCTGCTCTGTGAAATAATACCTCAATTGAATTCAGGTTGTACTTACTGTGATGATTTGCTTTCTTGTGTCCAGGTCACTGATGGTAGTTTACTACTTTTCTCTTACAGCCAATCATGTTCAGAGGTGAAGTGCGCTTGAATGTGGAAGAGAAAAAAACACGAGCAGCCAGGGAGGGTGATCGCCGAGACAACAGACCCCGTGGGCCTGGTGGCACCCGTGGGGGGCTGGGAGGTGGGATTCGAGTGCCTTCACGTGGAGGGATGTCTCAAAAACCAGGATTCGGCACTGGAAGGGGTATTGGGCAACGCCAATGATTGATGTGATGAGACAAACCCTTCTTCCTGCAGATTTGTGAATTTCAGCCTTGGGTATCTTGGAATGTGGCCCTAGCCTGTTATAGACTGCTACGTTTGATACTATTTTGGCCCATTTTGTTTGTGTTTGGTTTCGTGATTTTTTTTCTAGTCCTTGTCCCAGATTCCAGCTTTGTGGAACAATATTTCAGAAAAAATGGATTTTAAAAAGAACTTGAACTGAATCCTTGCTTGCTGCAGACAAATGGACTGGATTTTTTTGGTACCAGTGGTTTTTCCTAATGGAATGTGTGGCTTTTTTTTTTTTTTTTTGGTTATTTTTACTGAAATGGGGAGCGTTTCAGTCAGTGGAATTATCCTTTTCAGCTGCATGTGTTCAGGAGCCTGTAGGAGAACCTAGCACTTGACAACCGTTTCAAGGGCCGGGAAAGCCGCTTATCACTTGGGGAGGGGTGGGAGTGGGGAGTCACTTGAACTTCCCAGCCCTGATCTGGAGGTGTTGCCGCTCGATCAACATTCACCCTTTTCTCTGTGGCGCTGTAAAAATGGAATAAAGGGTATCCATAGAATGTTTTCTTTGGTACATGATCACGAAAAGGAATTCTCACTACTGCTTTACCACTTACAAGGATTGTGGGATAGGTTTTAAATGTCTAGAATTTGACTCTTTAAAACACTCTTCCTGAACTTGTGAAATTTTTTTTTATTGAAATAGGGAGATTTTTCATGTTTAGTTTGTATTTGTATTAAACAAAAACAAAATTGTTGTGCCTTCTATTTATCTCTCATTCCAGTCTTGGCAAATTGTTAAAAAAATAAAAAAGTCTAGATTTGCTTTATCCAGTTTTGGAGTACGTTTAAATCTTTCAAGAGATCTGTTTCTTTCACCCCTCCTCATCGGTGTACATGTTTAGAGAGTTGCACGACTTCTTTTTAATAGACTTATAGGTATGTATTTTTAAAAGATTTTTTGAAGACGTACATGGGCCCAGCTTTATTGACGAAGTCATTAGCTCTGAAGTGAGTGCCTTCCACACTTATGTGACAATGGGAAATGAAACCATAAATCTTGACAGTATGCATATGTTCAGTTTATGTAGTATGTTGCTGTGATGTTAATAGTCATCAATCATTAGCTTTAAAATGACATTCTAATATGGGCTAAACTATAAAATCCTAATGCTGATAATATTCATTTTTCACTGCAATATATTCACAGTATTGGATAAGCTATGGGACCTCTGTCTTTGCTGAATGTATATAAAACAAAATAAAATGCAGAACATTGTAGATGTTGCAGTGCCTGTATGGTCTTCTACGCCATATATTGAGTACATTGCACAGTATACAAGGCTTCTGGATGAACTGGTGCAACATCCTGAAGTAAACATTTTAGGGTATATAGGAATGAACAACTAGATCAGCTTGTGAGCCGTAATTTGTCATTCATCAATGTTTGTCTTTTTTACATGAGGATGGCTGCATAGTTGGGATGTACTGCTCTTAGTGATGTTTATATTATGCAGTGGTTAATGTGATCAAATGCCAATCCTCAAAGTCATAAAGCTTGTAGTTCATTGTCAACTATGTTTTCAGTCTTGTATCTGTAGTCTGAAGAATAAGAATACTGAACACTAAGGTGATATAAATAAATCCAGAGATCAAAATAAAAGTCATATGGTGAATGCTGTTAGAGCTGCTTATGAGGTAGTCTGGGCTGGAAAAAATATACCAAGATTTTAGTGTATTAGTATTTGGATGGGGTTTGTGAATATAGCATAACTGGTGATGTTGAGTTCTTCAGAATTCATCAGAAACTAGAGCAGAATTGTTAGATTACCAGACTGTAAGAAGACCACAAATATTTTTGAAAATGTTATGAATCACCTTGGTTCCCGCACCGGAAAAGCATAATATAAGTTTGTATCTTTTTATGCAAATGCTCTTTCTACTTCACTCCATCAATACTAGTTTATTGCTTGGCCATATTTATATAGCATGCAAGGAACTTTCTTTGCAGCTCTCTGAACTTGCCATTAAGAGTGAAGTTTACATTTTCTTGCTATTTGTGACTGTCAGTATGTCATAAGTTATCCGTTCCCCTGTGCAGTTGAATGCTGTTGAATTATGTTGAAATTTAGAAAGATTAGTCCAACATGGTTGAACTGTCTAAACCTGCTATTTTTGATGACACGATTACATACTGCCACTTTAGTAAGCTAAAGGTGGATCACTTTGCTAGTAAAAGCAAAACGCTTCTTGCCTTGACAAATCTTCTTTGTGCCAGTGAAATTTGCAGCCCTTAGCTTTGTGGAGTGACAGGATACAACTCCAAAAGTTCAAATAAATTTGACTCTGTTAACTCATAATAGTACATAACTGTAGTTTGCATAATCTTCCTGTGGAAGTTCTCTGTATACAGCTTTATATGTTGGTACTAATTTACACTTCAGAGTCTTCACTAGTTACTTTGCTCTGTTCTCAAGTATGCCTGAACTGAAACCTGAAATTGTATTTTTAACATGCTCTTGGTGTGCAGAACCTCACAGCTTACTATCTTTAAAAGCCAGCACTGCCTGCTGCCCTCATTGACAAATAAACATAATAAACAGGCAATAGGTGCCGTACAACTGGGGGAATATAATGTGTTGAGTTCACTTCCTGTTGGGTTCTGGAACATTTGTGCTTGATACAGGCCAGTAGGCTCTAGGAGTCATCAAGCCAGAGCTTGTCTTACTTGTTTGAGTGGCTTAAGTGTGTTTATGTTCTTATCCTTTCCTCAACTCCTCTCTCTTGTACATTTATTAGAAAAGTTTATTTTTTTCATATTAGTGGAAAGCCAGCAGTTTGGTGACCGCTGCAGTGGTACAAATGGTGAATCAGACTATGTATGTTGATGTGCTGAGAAAAAAACTTAAGTCACAGATACTACAGCCAGGAAGCGGTCCATCATGTAATTTTCAATATTTTACATCTCTGCTCCAGCACAGTAGCTGCATATCCAGATTCTGGCTTGAATTTGCTTAACCCTGTATGTGATATGTAGTGCCTTAATTATCAGAGCATGGTCAGGTAGAGCTGGGATTACATTTGAGACTATCTTGAGGCTAGGTGCATGACAGTCTCCAGCTTTGAGCATTAACTTGAATATACTGATTCTGGGTTCCATCTCTGAAGTGAAGATTGGTGTTCTAGTTCTTCAAAGTTTGGTCCAGATGCTGACTTCTTGCTGCTGCTTTGCAGGAATTTTCATCTGCTGCTTTATGGGATCCTAATTCACATTTTATTCTTGATATAGAGATTGTGGAGCTCACCTGACAGGGCAGATTGATGTCCTTAATTGCCCAGAAGACAGTAATGAAGCCTTGTTTTCCCCAACCCACCAGCCTTAGTATTTTTCTTAATATGTCATCTATTCGTACTGCGTCCTGAATACATTACAGGGACAACTGCAGTTGCTCAGTTTACTTTCACTCCTACTTTATTTTCAGCTACACAGATTTCAGCGTTTAATGTGTCTCTACCTATTTAGGCAATAGTATCTTTTTCTAATTCAATACCTACCCAAAACTCTCTGTATAAGTTCTGTCCTTAGCACCCCATCTGCTTTCTTCAGGTTTCTAGTATTTCATCCTTGAGGATGATGCGAATCAACAAATAAGGCTTTTGGATTACCTGTCAGTATTTTCTTAGACAAAAGATAACTTTCAAGCAGGAAGGTGTAAAAATAGCAATACAGGATCCAGGAAAAGATCAGTGGAAGGTGGATTTGATCTGTTGACAAATTGTGAAAGGATTCACTATTCACCATTGCAATACCTAGAGAGAAAGTGTGGATCCAAAGGCTGGCAAAAAGGCAAAGATGACAAAGCCTGGATCCTGTAGTAACTATCCAATAACAAGACATTTCTGTCAGCCAAGTGGAATTTTCCTGCCTCCCTCTTTTTCTGCAGCCCCAAATGCCCCTGAAATGTTTTTTCCTGGGGTTAGGGGCTCTCAAGGGCAGTGTGAGGTGATACCTTGGGGTGGGCGAAATTGGCAAAAATTGGTTCCTTCCTGTTAGCGGAAATGTACAACAAGATTCAAACCATGGTACAGAACCATTAATAGTCATTGAAGCAGGTGATAAATAGCTTGCATCATTACATTCAAGAGACTTATTGAATGGAACAGATTTGTCAAGACTCTTAGCCCCATATGTCAGTTCAAAGTGACTAAAGGTCTGTTGGTGACCTTGGCAACAGAAGTACTTGCACCTGTTCTACCAGTTGTCTACATGGGACCCATTGTCCTTTGTGGCATAATACTCAATTATCTCGCCACTGGGACACAGTAAGTTGTTCAATATAAGAGGTATTTGTATTTTTCCATCCAAAGGAGAGATGTTCTGTGAACATATGGTCTGACAGAAATAAAGGTAGTCCAGTCCAATGCGTCTTTTAAAAAACTAGCTGCAAAGCCCGTTGAGGAGGAAGACAACGGGCCCTAGAAAGGTAGGGTGGGTGGGTG